ATCTTTCAGACAGGACATTGGTGTTTGAGTGCATTTTAATAATAAAGGCACTTCATTAGCTGCAGCACCAACCTTACTAACAGCTTCCACAAGAGCTTTAATTTCTTCTTCCACTTCAGTTACAAACTTCAGATCTTTCCTTTAGTCAAGAATAAAAGAAAACAGACCCATGACTTAATGTATCAGTAAATCCCAGAAAACTAAGCGTAAGCTAATTCGCAGTTAGTTATTAGAAAACTTACATTTAATCAAGGCAAATTTTCAGGACATGTAACCACCTGATGGATTTGGTACTTGTGAACATCATACATAAATTTTCGATGGGTTACATCATTTTTCTATATTCACAAACAACTGAAGGAAGAACAGGAGGAAGCCATTTGGTTTTCAAGCCTGCTTCACCATTAAGATCATGGTTGATCTTTATTTTTGGCCACTTCAAACAGATTCGTTTCTCATAGCTGCAGATTGATATGAAGTGATGTGGATAGGGCATACCATTGCAATTTCATCACAATCACTTATTCATTAAATGTGAAATAGGTGGCATTTTCTTAAATCTTGCAGTAAAGGGAATCAAAAAAAAAAATCACCACTTCAACCATTCTAACTGAACAAGCTGCCCTAGGTTTACCTAATTTGTAAAATGAAAACTGATGCTTGTAGCCCACAATTCTAGAGGCAGAGGGAAAAATATTTTCACAAATGCTACTAATCCACCCAACTGAACAACATTAGCATGTTTACTTATGTACAAATTATATGTGACCAAATAGCAGTGATGTTTTTTCTGGCAAAAGCGGAGCCCCAGCGAAAGTGAAGAATTGCAATACTACCTTTAAAAACACATGACCATTAAAACCAATAATCTAAAATAAAAACAAAATACTGTATACATCCAGTGTAGTTGCTTATCGATCAGGTGCAACTCCAGAATTCCTGGCACTAAGTTGTAAAAATTCTACATCTACCATCTTTGACAAATTAGTAAATAAAAGGATTAATCCATCTGCTTTGTAGCCAAGATGTCAAACGCAGGTACGATTTTAAAATGGATCATTTATCTGCACTCGATTTTAAATGTGCCCAATACTAATCATCGCCTACCTTGCATCCTCCTTTAGACTCTCACTGTATTTGGATCCTAAACTGCGAACATGAAATGGATCTGAGGCAGGGTTAATGTTTAAAGCATCTGCTAATCTCCTGTGAAAAATACATACATAAAAACATAATAAGCACTTATGAACAGTAAGGAGGAACTCAAACACTTCTGACAGACAGGTTAGCACACAGCCAACATTGCTATACATATAAACCAGAGATTAACAAATCAACATTGCTCTGTTAGCAGCCAAGCCACCTTGCAGGGGTCAATTGTGGCTCAATGGCAGCACATGAACAAAGTCCACTGGCTTAAGGTAAATCCCACTTCAGAAACTTGAGCACACTATCCAGGCTGACATTCTTTTACTGAAGGAATGCTGCACCGTCAAATATTCCAACTTTTGGATGCAGTGTTAAGCCAGACTGCCTCTCACATGACCACAAAGATCCTATTACATTTTGCTAAGAGTAACAGGGGAGATCTTCTGATGCCCAGGCCAATACTTCTCCTTTATCCAATAAGTGCAACTTGTGACATGATCATTTACTTCATCATTTGTGTAAGCTTCTGGAAATTACGTTTCCAAAGTACTTCAATTGGGTGAACTTATACTCTTGGCTTTGAGGGGAAAGTGTTATCACTGAGCTGATGTGAATACTTGACATAGGTTCAGCAAGGACCAGGCTGGTGGCTGAATGGGCTTATAGAGTTTTAATAAGTTGATGTTTTTGGAAGATGGCTAGGACAACCCTAGGAGAAGTGGAAACTCCATATGATAAATCGATGGATTAGAGTTCCATCAGCAGATGAAGTGAGGCAGGAGTAGTGAAGACAATGAAAAGGAGATGGAAGCTGGTAGTGAGAGTTTGAGAGGCAGTGGAAGGATAGACCTGGAGGATTATCAGCATAAATGCAAAACCTGAAGCAATGTCTTTAAAGGTTGCTTCTGCAGGACAATTAAGAGTGCCAAAAATAGATTCTGGACAGAGTCCAGAGATATTGCTGTGGGGATGGGGAGAGAATCTGTTGTTGATGTGCTGGCTATGTTTTGGAAGAGTGGTACTAAGTAAAGACATCTGAGGGGCTCTTCAATTGATCTGAAAGGCTGCAGAGGAAGTGCGAAAGAGGAAGAATTTAGAGAAATGGACATATATCATTTGCATTTCGGCTGACGTAATTTCAGTTCTATGGCAGGGGTAGAAACATCACCGTACAGATTTAAACATGGAGCTGGGAGGCCACATGTTCAAGGATTAAAGAGAAAAGGAAATCCGAGGGTATACTTAGTTAGAGAGAGCTAGATGTTGGAAAACAGGAAAAAAGAAAAGCCAAAAACAAAGAACTGTTTTTTAAGCAGAGGTGACAGCAGACTTGAAAAGAAATAATTCAACACTCAAGATATCATAAAGGGTCAATGAAAGTCGAATGGAATTTGGAATAAATCTACCAATACTAATTTTGCCAACAGCAGAACAGATGGTTTTGAAAACCTGATTTCCAGTTTATGTGATGAGTAATTGAGTTTAGTCTACGGTAGACAAACAGGAGGCTGGAAGAACACAGCAAGCCAGGCAGCATCTGGAGGAAAGGAGAAGTCAACATTTTGGGTATTATCCTTCAGGACTAAATGTGGGTGGAGGGGGAGCTGCAGATAAAGAGTTGGGGGGTGGGTGGTGGGGTAGTGGAATGTTGGTGATAGGTGGACACTGGCAGGGATGAATCCAGTTGGTGGCTGGAAGGGAGGGTTAGTAGGTGGAATGGAAGAAGGTGGTGGGGCTGGAAAGGGAGCTAGAGGATGGGTGGGAAGGTTGTTTGAAATTAGAGAACTCAATGTGGAGTCCTCTGGGCTGTAGGGTGCCCAGGCGGAAGATAAGGTGTTGTTCCATGAACGTGCGTTCTGAATTGCTGCAACACTGGAGGAGGCTGAGGACGCATGTGTTGGGGGTTGAAATGGGGAGTGACCAGGAGGTTAGGTTGGCTGTTATGGGCCAGGCGAAGATGCTCAGTGAATCGGCCACCTCGCCTACGTTTGCTCTCACTGATGTAGAGAAGACCCACATCGGCAGCACCAGATGCAGTAGACGAGTTTGGAGGAGATGCAGGTGAAGCTGTCTCGCCTGAAGGATTGTTTGAGGCCCTGGATGGGGGTGAGAGAGGTGGTGTGTGGACAGATGTTGTATCTTTTACAGTTACGGGGAAAGTTACTGTTTTTTTTTGAGGGGGTGGTCAGAGCTGCTGGTGGGGAGTGTGGCATGAACTAAGAAGTGGCAAAAGGAATAGTTCTTGTGGAAGGCAGAGAGGGGTGGGGAGTGGAAGATGTTCCAGGTGGAGGGGCCTAATTGGAGTATTTGAGAATGATATGTTGAATGCAGAGGCTGGTGGGGTGGAAATGGAAAGGGGGACCTTATCTTTATTATGTTTGGGGGTGGGGGGGGGGGGGGTTCAGAGCTGTTGAATGGGGAACTCAGGAAGCACGGTGGAGGGCTGTATGGGTGACAGGGTGAAAAGAGCATTGTTTGAAAAAGGCAGACATCCGGGATGCTTGGGAATGGAACGTCTTGAGTTTTTGCAGGATGCTGGGTGGGAAGTGGTGTCGCCTAGGTAGCTAAGGGAGTCTGTGGGTTTATAGTAAACGTCAGTCCGTAAACTGTCACCAGAAATGGAGAGGTGTAGAGAAGGGTCAAGAAAGTTTACCCTAAGTGTAGCTGAGGTTTGATCCTCAGATTATGCTGAATTGCTTCTCAGTCAGGACAACAGGAAACTCCCTATAATTGCCCTCAACATGCCTGGATAGGAATGAGGAAACACTGTTGGCTAGAACACTTAATCCTGACTACTACTCAGTGAGCACTATTTGAAATGGAAATATGGTGGACGGCACGGTGGCTCAGTGGTTAGCACTGCTGCCTCACAGCACCAGGGACCCGGGTTTGGTTCCAGCCTCGGGCGATTGTCTGTGTCGAGTTTGCACATTCTCCCCGTGTCTGCATGGGTCTTCTCTGGGTGCTCTGGTTTCCTCCCACGGTCCAAAAGATGTGCAGGCTAGGTGGATTGGCCTTGCTAAATTGCCTGGTGTTCAGGGATGTGTAGATTGGGTGGGTTATGCGGGCGGTGTCTGGGCGGGATGGTCCGAGTGTCGGTGTGGACTTGTCAGGCTGAAGGGCCTGTTTCCATACTGTAGGGGTTCTATGGTTCTCCCACAGGATAAATAAAGGCTTAAGTATGGCTGCTGTAAATCGAATAACCCATCATCATCTTGTTTCAGTACCAAAATTACTTTCTCTTACAAATCCATTGTCACCAGTCTGTTGGAATCTGGTATCAGCTAGATTGTTTCTAGCCACAAATTGAAGGCTTCAGCTCATCAGCCAAAGACTTGGACTGGAATTATGGAAAAGTATCGAGAAGTTAGAATAAAGAACTCAATATTAACTCGGGCATCGAAACAGAAATACAGAAGGGGAAAGGAAATAGTAGTAATCTGAAACTGAAAGTAAAAGTTACATTGGGGAAAATCTCCAGTAAGTAAAAGCTGAAAGTATACACCTCCAAGGTTGTGAAAATTAACTTTCAATGTTACAAAAGGTTGTTTGAAAGTAATCAAGGCTTACTCCACCATGAAAAAGGTATTTAGAATGGAACTACCAGCCTCTATTTTTCACAGTGAGTGAAGTATGATAGTGCACAATGCCACACCATTCAACAGTTGTCTGAGCAGCCAGATGGCGACGTGTATGGAAGGGCAAAGCTGTGAATAGTATCCTCTGCAAGTTCCGTCTAATTTATGTATAAATAAAGGGAAAGTGTCATTTGCCTATTGGAATATTCCTAAAAGCTTTAAACTTTTTTTATTGACTATTTGCTAACTGTAGACGTTAACATCACCCAGCACTGGAAATGCATGCATACACGTCCATAAATTAAATTCATTTACAAATTAAAGGCAGCTTTCAGTTAATGAAGCAGAAATGTATTTTGATCATAAGAAACAAGTCATGTTTAACAGCATACGCATCCAGACAGCGCAGGAATTAAGCTTGTCATATCTTTGCATGAATTCACAACAATGGAATTAAACAGAACGAACGAACGAACATTAATAGATGCATCTGTGCTAATTAATGCTAAATTATGATTAGACTGAAACAACTATTGAAATACAGAACTCAGCAAGGAAGAAAATAAAAGGGGCAAAGGTATTTGGAGAACACAAGCAAACTGCAAACTACATACTATGTTTAAGAATATTAGAGGATGGAAAAACTCCTCTAAACACATCCATTAACCTTCCCTGATATTCAGCAGCACATTAAATCCCAAAATCTTAAGTGAAAATATTCATCATGCTTTGGACTATAGTTTAATTTACTACTCATTGAAGTTTCTACTCTCTGCTCCCACAAGACTGATGTACCTAGAAGGTGATTATGTTGGTTTCATGTTATCGAAGTTAAATGATTTATACAATGCAATGGAATTGCCTTTTTCTAACACCACCCACCTCCCCGCCACCACCTCTCCCAAACTCTGGTTTCTTACTGTTAGATTTTGGAACACAAGCTTCTCCAATCTTTCCTCATTGATCGTTACACTTGATCGTTTATACATCTTTAACAATGACTGTGCATCATTTTGATGTTTGGTAACAACAGTTGCACAGTATTTCAGTGTAAACTAATAATGCCATTCTTGTGTTTCAGCAAATCAAAAACACTTCAGTGGATGTTTCCATGCATTATTTAAGCATGAACTGAAAATCTGTAAACTAAATCTAAATCTGTAAACTTATGTCAGAAAGCAACACACATTTAGTTTACAACAATCTCATAGCACCAAGTTAACTTTAGAAAATGCATCTGAAAAATATAGCATGACTAGAATAACTGACCTGTTTCTTTCTACTGCTGCACATTCTTGATCACACTCCAATCTGCATGGAAAGACAACAATTTTATACCAGGACAGCCATCTTGACATTAACACTTCAAATACTGAATTGCCACAAGACCACAAGATATAGGTGCTGGATTAGGCTATTCTGCCCATCAAGTCAGCTCCACTATTTGTTCGTGGCTGATGTGTTTCTCAACCCAAATTCTCCCACCTTCTCCCCATAACCCTTGATTCACTTACTAATTATGAACCTCTGTCTTAAATATGCCCAATGATTTGACCTCCAAAGCCTCCTGTGGTATAGAGTTGCAGACTCCCCCATTCTGGCCCTGGCTGAAGAAATCCCTCATCAGTTTTGCAGGGTAATCCCTTTATTTGAGACTATGCCCATGGGTCCTCGTCTCACCAACTCGTAGAAACATCTTTCCCATGTCAACTCGAGCCAGCACTCTATGTACAATTTTCTAAAATTGATTTCTTTTGAGACACAGGATACCTTATAAATCAATAATAAACACCATCCAAAACTCAAACTGTAGAAAATAATAAAACTACATTGACCTACATCATCCAGGTAAGCACAATAATTGTTCTACTTTATAGCCCTTGGTGCTTTTGCAACTTATTTTTGGGAAGAGTATTAGGTGGCAAGATGTTAGAATTTGGTGTTTGTAAAAAGCTTGGGGGGGGGGGGGGGGGGGGGGGGCGTCGTGTAGGGAAAGAAGAGCGGTGCCTTTGAA